CATTAGCAGCAGTATGTTAGCATCTGTACATTAGCAGCAGTATGTTTACATCTGTACATTAGCAGCAGTATGTTTACATCTGTACATTAGCAGCAGTATGTTAGCATCTGTACATTAGCAGCAGTATGTTTACATCTGTACATTAGCAGCAGTATGTTTACATCTGTATATTAGCAGCAGTATGTTTACATCTGTACATTAGCAGCAGTATGTTTACATCTGTACATTAGCAGCAGTATGTTTACATCTGTACATTAGCAGCAGTATGTTTACATCTGTACATTAGCAGCAGTATGTTAGCATCTGTACATTAGCAGCAGTATGTTTACATCTGTACATTAGCAGCAGTATGTTAGCATCTGTACATTAGCAGCAGTATGTTTACACCTGTACATTAGCAGCAGTATGTTAGCATCTGTATATTAGCAGCAGTATGTTAGCATCTGTACATTAGCAGCAGTATGTTAGCATCTGTACATTAGCAGCAGTATGTTAGCATCTGTACATTAGCAGCAGTATGTTTACATCTGTATATTAGCAGCAGTATGTTTACATCTGTACATTAGCAGCAGTATGTTAGCATCTGTATATTAGCAGCAGTATGTTTACATCTGTATATTAGCAGCAGTATGTTAGCATCTGTACATTAGCAGCAGTATGTTAGCATCTGTACATTAGCAGCAGTATGTTAGCATCTGTACATTAGCAGCAGTATGTTAGCATCTGTACATTAGCAGCAGTATGTTAGCATCTGTACATTAGCAGCAGTATGTTTACATCTGTACATTAGCAGCAGTATGTTTACATCTGTACATTAGCAGCAGTATGTTAGCATCTGTACATTAGCAGCAGTATGTTAGCATCTGTACATTAGCAGCAGTATGTTAGCATCTGTACATTAGCAGCAGTATGTTTACATCTGTACATTAGCAGCAGTATGTTAGCATCTGTACATTAGCAGCAGTATGTTAGCATCTGTACATTAGCAGCAGTATGTTAGCATCTGTACATTAGCAGCAGTATGTTAGCATCTGTACATTAGCAGCAGTATGTTTACACCTGTACATTAGCAGCAGTATGTTAGCATCTGTACATTAGCAGCAGTATGTTAGCATCTGTACATTAGCAGCAGTATGTTAGCATCTGTACATTAGCAGCAGTATGTTAGCATCTGTATATTAGCAGCAGTATGTTAGCATCTGTACATTAGCAGCAGTATGTTTACACCTGTATATTAGCAGCAGTATGTTAGCATCTGTGCATTAGCAGCAGTATGTTAGCATCTGTATATTAGCAGCAGTATGTTAGCATCTGTGCATTAGCAGCAGTATGTTAGCATCTGTATATTAGCAGCAGTATGTTAGCATCTGTACATTAGCAGCAGTATGTTAGCATCTGTACATTAGCAGCAGTATGTTTACATCTGTACATTAGCAGCAGTATGTTAGCATCTGTACATTAGCAGCAGTATGTTAGCATCTGTACATTAGCAGCAGTATGTTAGCATCTGTACATTAGCAGCAGTATGTTAGCATCTGTACATTAGCAGCAGTATGTTAGCATCTGTACATTAGCAGCAGTATGTTTACATCTGTATATTAGCAGCAGTATGTTTACATCTGTACATTAGCAGCAGTATGTTAGCATCTGTACATTAGCAGCAGTATGTTTACATCTGTACATTAGCAGCAGTATGTTAGCATCTGTACATTAGCAGCAGTATGTTTACACCTGTACATTAGCAGCAGTATGTTAGCATCTGTACATTAGCAGCAGTATGTTAGCATCTGTACATTAGCAGCAGTATGTTAGCATCTGTACATTAGCAGCAGTATGTTAGCATCTGTACATTAGCAGCAGTATGTTAGCATCTGTATATTAGCAGCAGTATGTTTACATCTGTATATTAGCAGCAGTATGTTAGCATCTGTACATTAGCAGCAGTATGTTAGCATCTGTCCATTAGCAGCAGTATGTTAGCATCTGTACATTAGCAGCAGTATGTTAGCATCTGTACATTAGCAGCAGTATGTTTACATCTGTACATTAGCAGCAGTATGTTAGCATCTGTACATTAGCAGCAGTATGTTAGCATCTGTACATTAGCAGCAGTATGTTAGCATCTGTACATTAGCAGCAGTATGTTAGCATCTGTACATTAGCAGCAGTATGTTAGCATCTGTACATTAGCAGCAGTATGTTAGCATCTGTACATTAGCAGCAGTATGTTAGCATCTGTACATTAGCAGCAGTATGTTAGCATCTGTACATTAGCAGCAGTATGTTAGCATCTGTACATTAGCAGCAGTATGTTAGCATCTGTACATTAGCAGCAGTATGTTAGCATCTGTACATTAGCAGCAGTATGTTAGCATCTGTACATTAGCAGCAGTATGTTAGCATCTGTACATTAGCAGCAGTATGTTAGCATCTGTACATTAGCAGCAGTATGTTAGCATCTGTATATTAGCAGCAGTATGTTAGCATCTGTATATTAGCAGCAGTATGTTAGCATCTGTACATTAGCAGCAGTATGTTTACATCTGTACATTAGCAGCAGTATGTTAGCATCTGTACATTAGCAGCAGTATGTTTACATCTGTACATTAGCAGCAGTATGTTAGCATCTGTACATTAGCAGCAGTATGTTAGCATCTGTACATTAGCAGCAGTATGTTTACATCTGTACATTAGCAGCAGTATGTTTACACCTGTACACAAACACAGCCTCTCTCTGCATCTGTACATTAGCAGCAGTATGTTTACACCTGTACACAAACACAGCCTCTCTCTGCATCTGTACATTAGCAGCAGTATGTTTACACCTGTACACAAACACAGCCTCTCTCTGCATCTGTACATTAGCAGCAGTATGTTTACACCTGTACACAAACACAGCCTCTCTCTGCATCTGTACATTAGCAGCAGTATGTTTACACCTGTACACAAACACAGCCTCTCTCTGCATCTGTACATTAGCAGCAGTATGTTTACACCTGTACACAAACACAGCCTCTCTCTGCGCTGCTCAGCACAGACTGAGGCTCTGAGCCACTGGGCCACAGACAGAGGACTTTGGAGTTACCATAGCAACCAGAATTCTAACCAGAATTCTAGATGATGTCGTCCCATGACATCGTTCAGATTAACTTCTGTGTAAAATACAGTAGACAGGCAGTGTTAGAAAACCTGTTATAAATGATTAATCAATATTACTTAATAATGTTGTGTAGTGAGGAGACTAGTAATAAATGTTAAATGTCTACACAATGCATTCATGTGGTTTAAGAGTGGCCTCTGTTTACACGTATTGTCCAGTCTTCACACACCTTGATTTACATTTGAACCTGCTTTTACTAGTCTACTACTACTACTAGTGTTGTACATATTCATCTATTTCATCTGAACCAGGTATTGTCTCATCAAAAGATTTTTCTTTAACAGATGTTAAAAACGGTTTTTGAATTCAGACCTGTGATCTGTGCATAAATAGGTTTTTACAGACGTACTGGGCCAAGTGGCCCGGGTCGTCGCCTCAGAGGAGTGAAAACGGCCCGCGGTCACAAGAACGTGTATGAGTAACTGTGCTGTAGTACAACACTCTGTCCAGCTGGTGGCGCTAATACTAACTTCAGCCACGACCTCATTGTCCAAGTTAAGTTTCTGTTTCTCTTCCTGTTTACATTCTGCTACTGTAGCTAACAGCTGTAGCTAACTGCTCAGTACGTGCACGTGTGTGTGTCTGTGTGTGTGTGTGTGTGTGTGTGTGTGTGTGTGTGTGCACCGCGGACACGGGAGTGAGCCTGTTTATTAACGAGCGTAAGAGCGCTGAGAAATGAAAGAATGAAAATTGTGGCGTACAAGCAGAGCGACCCGTGTGTGTTTGTGTGTGTTTGTGTGTTTGTGTGTGTTTGTGTGTTCTGGCAATTAAATAAACACTGATTCTTGAATGTCCAAAGTTATTTTGCAATAGGGCTGGAAAGCGGAAGTGCGAGATTTCCACCCGTGGATACAAACAAACCACACGTGCCACTTGTATGGTGCTGAGATCGCCGACTTCTTCCTCCTTAAAGGACTTTCCTGTGTTATTTTGGACACATTTCGTCTCTGGGACAGAAAAACTGAGTGAACGGTCGGAGTTAGCTGTGAACTGACCATGTCCTGAAGTTTATATGACGGGGAGATGAGAAAGGTGCAGGGCCGTGTTCAAACTTATTGTTTTTTAATCCACTGTTATGCATCAGAAAGACAATATAGAAACACTATTCCTATGCAAATACATTGATGTCCCTTACAGCTGTCTTTGCTGCGTTGGTTATGAGCCAATGTTTATGAATGATCAGTTTTCTATCTGTTCATCAGCTCCATCTCCACTTCACACTCACTGCAGCTTCACATTGGGCCTTTTTTCTGTGCTGTCAAAAATAACATGATGTAGTTGGGTTACCTATTCATTTACTACTAATATTATGATTGTCCGTTTTCTGTTTATATTTGAACATTTGTTAAATGTTATTTAATATGTGCTAATATGTTCCTCCTTTATCTCTCAAATAAATAAATAAATGTATCCTGTGTGACAACAATAAAGTTAATCTTATCTTAAAATACAAGCCACAATGAAAGGCTCGGCAGCGCACTACAGGTTAGCATTAGCTACAAGTTAGCTTGAATACATATTCAAGTTAACCATCTGTAAAATCAGACAAAATGTTTTATCACAACTGCATAGCTTTTTACACAGCTTCAGTTGGTCTTTGGGAAACCCAAAAAATGAGCTTCATGTAAACTTTGATGATAACAGCCGAAAACAAAGCAGAGCATTTTGCACCATTCATTTAAACAGCCTCTTCGAACAGCTGACGGTTTGTTTGTATCCGAGCAATGAACCGGAAGTGCTTCTAGGACGAGACTTTCCAGCCCTATAGCACCACACTGAGAGCGAGGGTCAGGACAGAGGCAGTTATTCCCGTAGGAAACGCTTTCCTTTTGCCCTGGAGCGACACAACCCCCTGCGCCCCTCGACCGCGGTCCCCTGCGCCCCTCGACCGCGGTCCCCTGCGCCCCTCGACCGCGGTCCCCTGCGCCCCTCGACCGCGGTCCCCTGCGCCCCTCGACCGCGGTCCCCTGCGCCCTTTGACCGCGGTCCCCTGCGCCCCTCGACCGCGGTCCCCTGCGCCCTTTGACCGCGGTCCCCTGCGCCCCTCGACCGCGGTCCCCTGCGCCCCTCGACCGCGGTCCCCTGCGCCCTTTGACCGCGGTCCCCTGCGCCCCCCGACCGCGGTCCCCTGCGCCCCTCGACCGCGGCCCCCTGCGCCCTTTGACCGCGGTCCCCTGCGCCCTTTGACCGCGGTCCCCTGCGCCCTTTGACCGCGGTCCCCTGCGCCCCTCGACCACCCTAACCATAACCAGGGGCTTATATGAAAGGTTTAACACAAGCAGAGAATACGAAAGTGCAGGAGAGATGTGTGTGAAAATGCACGTCACAACTGAAGACGTAATGTGACCCACCGCACCTCACCCCCCACTCCCCACCACCCGCCACACTGACCCCCCTCATCTGGGCTTTAAAGTGGGCCCTGGCCCAAGTCTTCAAGCGTGCCTGGGCGCGGTTGAGGCTACCGTGCCAAAGCCAACTTGCCGCGGTCACATGCACCTAAAGCCTGGATCTAATCGTGAAGCGGGCCCTGGTCCACTTACAGTAAACTGGGCTTTAGGCTGTGCATGTGACCGCAGCCTAATGGCGCGTTCAGACCAAAAGCTTCAAAAAGCTTTTGACGCGCGTCAGCTGACGCCAGGTTATTTTTGTCATTTTGGTGCTTGAAGCTTTTGACGCGAGTGACGCGACTGACGCGCCTGACGCGACTGACGCGCCTGACGCGACTGACGCGCCTGACGCGCCTGACGCTGGTGGGAGGAGCTTCTCTGTTGCCGGTGTAGTCCAGAGAAGATGGCGGATTTCCGAAGAGCAGCTTGCCTTTATTTGTTGGTAAAATCCATACAACGTCGTCGTAGGGCTTCTACACAACGTGTATGGGTTCACAGCATACTTCAGAGGCGTGCAGTGTTTGGTGAGTTTCACCATTTACTCCAGGAGCTGCGTATGGACGAGGCTCGCTTTCAGCGGTACTTCCGAATGTCAGTAGCCCAGTTTGATGACCTGCTCACCCGCATCGGAGCTCGCATCGCCCGCATGGACACCAACTACAGGCGCTCGATTCCAGCGGAAGAGCGCCTATCTGTCTGAGGTTAGTGAGAATTTTCTGATAAAATATCTAAAAATACAATAGGAAATAGCGTCCCTAGCAGGATCACGGCCCGAGAGATAGGAGCAGCCAAAAGCAGTAGTTAAACGTTGAATATACGTTTTAATTAGGACATAAAAGTTAATTGTAATAACATTTCAGGCGGGAAATATACCCCACTAATGTCATATCAGAGGTCTGTTTGGTGATTAAATAGATATTTAAATTTTTGTCTGACTTTTTCCCTCCAGCGCGGAGCTCCAATGCTAACCGGCTAACCACGGGTGTTGAGCGGCGCTGAACACCCGTGAACCCAAGGAGGCTTTTGTTACAGACCTTCTCTGTTATAACGATTGTATTTAGAGTAATCATTAATACAATTGATATATTTGCTATGGCCCTCGTTTGTGCATTTGAAGTCATTTTGAAGGTGCATTGTGTCACTGTAGTGAAGTTATTAGAAAACTGATCAATTAAATCAGCATTGTCTGCTACTTAGTACTTAATATATTCAGATTCCCAAGTGATTAACCCCCCTGTGATTTCACAAGAGAGGGTACATTTCCATTGTTGGTGCAATTCCTGAAAACAAATTTACACAATCATATTGTATGATTAATTTAAAATATTTTTGTATATTGCTGAGTCGTATTTGTATCATTGTAGGTTTCTTGCTACTGGGGACTTCTTCAGGACCATAGCAAGCAGCTTCAGGGTGGGCATCTCCACCATCTCCAGCATCATCCCAGATGTGGTGGCAGCCATCTGGGACGGCCTGGTGGAGGAGTTCATGCCTGTGCCTGGAGAAGAGGAGTGGAGGTTGTCTGCTATGGAGTTTGAGGAGCGGTGGAACTTCCCTCTTTGTTGTGGTGCTATAGATGGGAAGCACATCAACCTCAAGGCACCCCCCAACTCAGGCTCCCTGTACTTCAACTACAAGGGTAGGCACTCCTTGGTCCTCCTTGCTATTGTAGATGCCAACTACAAGTTCAGGGTGATTGACGTAGGGGGCTATGGCAGAACCAGCGATGGAGGGATCCTGGCCAACTCCACCTTCGGTCAGGCTCTGCATGCGGGAACACTTCCTCTGCCAGCTGACCGGCATCTCCCTGGAGCAGAGCACCGAGGCCCCCTGCCCCATGTCTTTGTGGCAGATGAGGCCTTCCCACTGCGGAGGAACTTAATGCGGCCTTTTCCAGGAAGTGGCGGCGCTAACCCTGGACAGCGCATTTTTAATTACCGCCTCTCCCGAGCCCGGCTGGTGGTGGAGGATGCGTTTGGCATTTGGTCATCGCAGTGGAGGATGTTTCGTCGGGACCTCGAGATCCGGCCAGAAGTTGTGGAGAAGTGCGTGAAGGCCACATGTGTTCTCCACAATTTCCTGAGGGTGTCTGCTCCGGTCCCAGTCCTGAGAGGAGCTGCAGCGCAGGGAGATGACTGTCTTCCAGGTGTCGGGAGGATGGGTGCCAACAACGCCACCAGAGAGGCACTGCAGGCGAGGGAGGCGTTCATGGCCCACTTCTGTGAGGAGGGGGCAGTAGCATGGCAGCCGACAGAGTAGTCAGATCCTCACGGGACTGACCCAAAACGGTTCTTTTAAGAGCCACCCATGAAAACTAAAGAGCATTTCTTCTTTAATAATATTTGAGTGTCTGTATTTGCCAATGCATTACTTTTGAATATCGGGACACAAATACTACAACATCCTGATCATGAATTCTAGTCTTGGATAAAGACCATGTCTATGTTTATCCAGTATGTTTTTTAACCATTCACCTGTGCCCTTCTTGTTTGCAGGTAATAGTTCCAGATTCTGCAGCTGTCTCCGACTTCACAACATGTTCAAGCATGGCCTCAATTACAAGTTTGTCCAAACAGGATATGCTGAAATTAATTATGTCAACTATTTCTATTATAATTTCTATTGTCTCATATTTGGTGATAACGTGTTTACGAGTAAAGTTCTCCTTAATTGAAGTATTTGAAATTAGTGATATTTAACTTATTTGAACACATACCTTAATGAAAAACCTGTACATATTTAAAGTAGCAGACCAAATCTTAAGTTATAAATTTTTTAATGAAATATGTAAAAACAAATATGTACACAAAAAAGAACAGGAACAGGAATAAAAAGGACCTTGCTTGGAGGAGGAGTGCAGGAAGGAGAAGAGTCTGTTTCCTCCCCTGCAAAAGAAGCCACCTCATAGCTAAACACTACTACTAAGTGTGCTCCAATTGTTCCACATTAAGCGTAAATGCGCTGCTCTCATAAAGTAATTTATGAATTTGGAATTTGACAAATTCTAAAGATTGAGGTGGCACCTTATCCAGGAGAGGAAGCAGAGATTGGAGGAAGAGCTCATTTCGTGATGGAGCTGGAGCTGCAGTCTGCCGCAGGAGGGCCATCAGCTCCAGCTCCAAGCGCGATAGCTCCTGGGCGGAGGTGTCCTGGGTGGTGCGCTTCCTCGCTCTCTTCCTTTGTGGACCTGCAAACACCACAAGACAATGGCTTTAAAAATATAAAGTCATGAGTATGTAGGATCTGATAATCTATGAACAACTTTTAAATCCTTTTCTTATGTTAAATAAAATAACTAGATCCTATGTAAAAATAGTATTCGATTTGTATATTTCACTTTTTGATGCCCACATATTCAAAAGTATTTGTGAAATGTTTAATATAACGTTTATACTTTCACAACAATAAAATTGATTTCCTACACACCTGTAGGTGCAGCAGCAGGGGAACGACCGGCAGCAGAGGAAGAACCAGCAGCAGAGGAAGAACCAGCAGCAGAGGACGGTCAAGGAGCCGAGGACGGTCCAGGAGCCGAGGACGGTCCAGGAGCCGAGAACGGTCCAGAGGCCGAGGACGGTCCAGCACTCGGCTCTGTCTCTGAACTTGACTCCGTATCAGCGTCATCTGTTATTAAATAAATTACTTTCACTTCACAGCACGTGTACAATCATTTTAAGAACGTTAATACTCATATAAATAACCTTGCTATAAACAATAATGACAACAAAACAGTTTAGTGGGAAGCTGCATGACTTCTTTCCATACATTGTTTTAGCTACACACCTACATCTGACATTAGTTTACAGCATATGTACATTTATTTTGCCAGTTGCTTATTAAGAACGTTAATACTCATAAATAACCTTGCTATAAACAATGACAACAAAACAGTTTAGTGGGCAGCTGCATGACTTCATTCAATACATTGTTTTAGCTACAGACCTCCTGCAACTGACACCTCCGCTGCTGCTGGTTCCTCCTCTCGGAGGTGGTCGTACCCCCTCTCCTCCTCGGCCCTGTGTGCTGTCATGTTACCAGTAGATGGCCTCGGTGTTACGTAGGGCTCGAGGAAGGAGAGCGATGCCAAGTACCTCCACCTCTGCACTGTCCCTGCTGCTGCACCACTGCGCCTCCTCTCTTTCTCCTTCCTGCACTCCCTCATGAACCTGTCCCTCAGGCTTTTCCACCTCTTTTTGATTTCTTTCTCTATATGAACAAATGGACTTGTGAGCGGGAACAGAAATCATAGCGACTGTACATTGTACGACTCCTGACCGGAGTTTACTAAACATGGAATACAGATATGAATTCTTTACATAACTTACCATCGTACCCGATCTCCTCGCTTATCCTCCTCCAAGCAAGGTCCTTTCTATTCCTGTCCCTGTATAGCGGGCTGGAAACAGCGTAAAGCTCTGGGCGAGAGCTAATCGCCACGATTAAGCTCTCCTCCATGTTCTCGAATATGATTTTGTTTCCCGCTTCCACCGGCTTCATCGTAGAGCGACCCTGTCTCCTGATTGGTTGAAGCCCGCGTCAAAGCTTCAAAAGCTCAGCTTTGCTCAGCTTCGGCGTCAAAGGGATTGTTGTGATACGCGAGCGATTCGCGCGTCAAAAGCTTCAAGTGAGCGCGTATTACGCGCGACCTTTGAAGCTTTTGACGCGCGCCAAGTGACGCCGGGCCCCTCGGCTTCACCTGACGCGCTTCACCATTCACTTTCAATGCAAACCTGACGCTTTTGACGCCGAAGTTAAGTCCGGTGTGAACGCGCCATAAGAGAGGTGGGCCAGGGCCCTCTTCTAAAGCCCAGATGAGGGGGGTCAGTGTGGCGGGTGGCGGGGAGTGGGGGATGAGGAGTGGTGAGGACTTGATATTGTGCGTCACATTATGTCTTCAGTTGTGACCATAGACTGTAAATATTAACAGACGTAGTCACTAGGGTTTAATATTTTCCCTCTGTCCTGACCCTCGCTCTCAGTGTGGTGCTGTTCATTAAAGGGCCATAATCTGTCATCATTAAAGGGCCCTAATCTGTCATCATTAAAGGGCCCTAATCTGTCATCATTAAAGGGCCCAAATCTGTCATCATTAAAGGGCCCTAATCTGTCATCATTAAAGGGCCCTAATCTGTCATCATTAAAGGGCTCTAATCTGTCATCATTAAAGGGCCCTAATCTGTCATCATTAAAGGGCCCTAATCTGACATCATTAAAGGGCCCTAATCTGTCATCATTAAAGGGCCCTAATCTGTCATCATTAAAGGGCCCTAATCTGTCATCATTAAAGGGCCCTAATCTGTCATCATTAAAGGGCCCTAATCTGTCATCATTAAAGGACCCTAATCTGTCATCATTAAAGGCCCTAATCTGTCATCATTAAAGGGCCCTAATCTGTCATAATAATAATCTGTTCTTTTCCAATCCTTCTTTAACTGATAACAATAGTTCAGAGATATTTTAATTTCTAAATTACTTTTCCAGCCTCTAAATCTTGTTATTGTTTTCATTTCGATGTCCCGCCCTCCACCGTTCCACCAATCAGAAAGTCTGTGATCCTGGCGCCAGAACTCACCGTGTGGAGCTAATCTCACTGGTAAAGTACCATGTGGCGCAGAACTAAAAAAGGTCTCGTTATGATTCTCAAATCATTAACGACAAAACAAGGAATAAAACCAGGATTTCTATCTTTGTGAAAAAGGTGTTGGTTATAGATTTGTTGTTGACAAAACTCTTGTCTATTCAGCTGTTATGGTCCCAGCTGGATTCGTCTGCATATCTGGCAACCTGAGTCAGGGAGAGTGGGAGAGGCTGCAGTACCACTTTTGGCCACATTTTTACATACAGCTCCTTTAAATCAAACATGCCAATAAATTGCTTGCTTGCAGTCACGTGACGCATAAACTTCCGGTTGACGAAGTGGTGGTCAGGCTAGCAAGAGTTGCTGCTGATATATGAAGAAAATGCGACTCTTCCAAGTATTTCTTTGCTTTTTTGGATATTTCATGACACTTTGAAGCTACTGTGGTGAACGTTCTAACTCATCATTCTAACAATATGCACAAGGCAGAATTTTTCCACTACATGTTTTGGTAATATCAAGGTTGAAGCTACTGGCACCGCGGCAAATGCTAACATGCTAATAACGCTAACATGCTAATAATGCTAACATGCTAATAATGCTAATAAGTCTCCATTCTTCCGCTTTATGTCACTTACATTCTGTAACGTCTTTGTTTATGCTGTTTCTACTGTCGACAATAAAAAAGGTCTTCTGTCCGAATTAAAGACAAGATCCTAGACTGTCTTTTATTCACTTTAGATTCTAATCCACAGCTAGTGTTACAATCAAGCTTTTGCACCGCTAAACAAATGAAGGTTTGGATAAACACGGATGCTGCAACTTTTCCGTCTGTGGGTTTAAGAACTCAGAGTTAAGATCCTGAAGGACACATCCTGCATCGTACAGAGCCGTGTAAGTAACGATTGGTGAAAGAACTTATCATTCTCAACAAAACACTGCGTCTGTGGCTGTGTTCTTTCCAGGTCAAACATTCACAGTGTTTATTTAAAACGCCAACTCATCCCTGACAATGAATGAAATAAAAATGGGGAGGTAATAACTGAGCATTGTGACTGCACGGCTGGGTAAATAAATAATCCTTCGATGTAAAAGCGTTTGCAGTGAAATGTTAGCGAGCCATTTTTCCTGCGTCTTTTCGTAAAGTCCTGAGTGCGAGGCTCTTTATTCATCTCTTCACAAGGAATCCTAAAGTATCCATTAAAGGTTTCACGATTCGATCGGTTAGAAAACTTAAAACAACACATGCAAAAGGCAGATTCAGACACGCTGCTCTGTTGAACAACTAGCTCGGCGACCACCAGTCCGTGACACGCATACGTAATGAGGCGGACGTGACGACAATTGCAAGCAATAAATATCATTGTGATGCTTGTGTTTCCAGATTGAAATAATAATGTTTTTGTCTGACAGAGAATCTACAAACAGCACGTTGTCGAGTGCACGGTTCATTATAAAGTGGAGAAGATGCCGTACTCCATCCCACCGCTGTTACAATACAATACAATACACAGTACAATTTATTCTTGTATAGCCCTAGGTCACAACAGAAGTCATCTCAGAGACTTAACAAAACCATTGAAATCACCAACACAGGTCAGAGAATCAACAGTTAAAACACATGAAGAATATAAAGCACACACAGAAGAAAATGTCCATACATGTTGTAGAATGCTAAAGTGTCCTGATCATCACCAATCCTTTCTGTTGGACACTAACTGTCCAACAAGACCCTCCTGCATCGACAAGGAACAACTCTTAAAAAACCCAGTGGGAAAAAGTGAGAAACCTTGGGGAGCACTAGGGAAACCCACAGGGAGGGAGACCCATATGAGAAAGGGATCCGCTCCTCCGGACGGACAGGCTAATGATCCAGGACCTAAGCTAGCTACAGAACGTGGACCAGTGGACGCTGAACGTGGACAGGTCCGGTGCAGGACCGAAGCCCTCCCAGGCGGGGCAGTCCGCAGGTGTAGATGGAAGAGGCCAGCCTCAGAGATCCCGTCATCGTACCATGAAACAGACAATGGGACAACGGGTGAATAGCAATGAACAAACTACAGTCAGAATCCTAAAAGTGCTAAACAGATAAAGTAGATAAAGTAGGAAGGAGGAGAGGATAGTGCTCAAGTTACCATACTTCTCCCAGCAAACTGACTCCCTATGCAGCTTGACTGACACTCTGAGGAGTTTAGCCTTCCCAGAGTCTTACCTTCCTAACCATATGCTAAACTAAAGAGGACTGTTTTAAACCTAGCCTTGAAAAAAGAGATTCATGGATTGCACACCAGGTGTGCAAACCGATCCAAGCAAACCTAATTATATATTATATATCATATACATCATATATACCATACATACCATATATATCATAAATAATACACAACATAACATACAGCATAATATATAACATAATATACAACATAACACAATACATTATTGTATAATATATAACATAATATATAACATAATACAGCATATATATATAATATATACACCATATATTATATATTACCTAATTATATGCTAAATTAAAGTAAAGTGCTTTGGCCTTGAATGTGGAGACCGTATCTGCTTCCTTAACATAAATGAAGCTGATTCCACAGTAAAGGAGCTTGGAGCTAAATGCTCTGCCGCCAACAGTGACCTTTGAGACCTTAGGGACCACCAGACGTCTGGCGTTTTGTGAGCGCAACGCTCGACTTGGTTGATACGACACTAACGTGTCTTGGAGATAAGAAGGAGCCAAGCCATTTATGGCTTTATATGTTAAGAGAAGGATTTTAAACTTTATTCTGTACTCCACAGGGAGCCAGTGGAGTGATTTTAACACCGGAGTTATGCAGAGGTGGGACAAAGTCATTGTTTAGCAAGTCACAAGTCAGTCTCAATTCATTGCCCTCAAGTCCCGAGTCAAGTCACGAGTCAAGACAGGCAAGTCCCGAGTCGAGTCCAAGTCAAAGGCCAACAAATCTCAAGTCAGTCCCAAGTCCTACGGTTTGACTTTCGAGTCCT